AGGGGGTGTCCCTTAAGGCTTCAAATTATGCCTTAAGAGATTAAAATGCAAAGTATGTTCATCAGTTTGGATTTTCATGCTGGCCATGTTTTATGTTCATGACTTGACGTTTAATCATAGCACAGACTATGTTTATACATTTGGTCATAAGAGGTATTTTAAATACTTGATGTAGAAGAGAAACGAACCAGTGTGAATGTTATAAAAAGAGATTTTCCTCAATTTTTCAGAAGTCTGCAAATGAGCTTTACGGGTTTCAAGTGATCGATGAATACATTGGCGAATAGACTTTGTTCAGATGTGCATTTTGGCTCGATTTGATCCTGACGTTTGAGAATTCGCACCTTTTATTTGGTGAATTTTAGTTATGTAATCGAAGATTGGAGAGAGGGGTATCATCTAACCACGCTGGTATATGTATAAATGGAATTTCGATTAGACTTTCCATATTTTGTACGGAATTAAATGAATACACCTTCATAGGATTTGGAGAGCTAAATTAAGTATTTCCAGCATGGTAACAGATCGCTCCCATCTTCCTTTGTTTTCATTCCCTTTGATGACCTCCTCGTCCTTGCTGCTAAAGACATTTGATGCCGCCATTTTTACCAATATTTGATCTGGATCCATGTCAGTAGCAAGCGCATCCTTTACTTTGTTAAGTACCTTTATATACTCCTTATCTAATGGTTTATCTGCCGCTTCTTCAGTCTTTGTTCCGTCAATTTTAGTTGCCATTATTTTCGAGTCTTTCTTGGAGGGTTCAATACTCTTTGAGAGTATTTCGTTTCAATATGATGATCACCACGGCGAGAAGCTGTGGTAAATATGTTACCGTGTCTCCGCTTTGTATATACTCTATGCTCCTTCCGTGCTATTTTTATCATCCACGTTTGATATTTGTACGTAAGCTGGGCAGCTTCGGCACTCACTTAGGGATCTTTTAAGTCACGTTTACCATGCCTGAGATGCGTATGGAATGAGAGACTGCCGCCGCTAATTTCGATAGAGGGTCGGAAGAAACGTGACTAAGTCGGTAAGCTACAATATTCGACTTGACCCACCACGAAGAGCTAACTGGACGGAAGTTGGTCCGACAGCATGTTTGCCGTCTTACCATTGTTAAAAACATAACCACGTAATTTTGTCAAAGTATCAAGGAAGGAAGAACTTGCCTTGAAATTTTAGTTAGAAGTTACATCATTCGTCTCCAGTCAGCTTGGTTCGCAGCTAATAGTTCACCTGATCAAAATTATAAGCTGCGCTGAGAATACTTATCAATTCCACGAAATAAAATGATTAATTCTAGAATTACAGGTTTAATTTTGGTAAGTCCAGTGTTGAGAGCAATGGTATAGTTTAAGGGTTTTCATATGACGTGATGACAAAAGCGCAGAGAGCATGCGAGATGTACAATCAGTGGAGTCTACTTGTTGAGTAAAAATATATACCTTTTTTGGAGCAGCCACAGCAATATACAGCTAAAATAACTTTAGTTTTCAAACACAAATATTGATCAGCACTTTACCAACTTGGATTAGAACAGATACTTACAGCTTCACTTGAATATTTAAGTCATGATTACTTTAATGTCAATCAATGGTCTGTTTAAATAAACCGCAAAGATGAGCCACCTTTGAATATTTTCTATAAGGCACAACAGTTCAAAAATGAACTGCAGATTGCCAAATTACCTTCCGTTACCCCATTCAAAATGTTTTACAGGCACAGCAAACAGTGTACAACATCGAACAGAGAGAGAAAGGGTGAAAACAAGGGTATTAGTGATTGGAATGCTCTTCCAGTAGATTACGAGATACCACTTTTGTCGCTTATTGTATTTTCTTCCGGGTTCGATTACAACTAAGAAGGTTCAAACATTTAGAATTATCGCATTTCTCAACGGTTGAAAACTGTTTTCTTACCTGTGTTGATTTTCAACAAATGAAAATGGAATGCCCACATGTCTAGTTAAGATAAAACCAGTCAGTAAACACTTAACTGTTTAGCGAACCGACTGAGTGTGTTTTAGGTTTTTGACTCAGTGTTGAAAGTCCAGCTTGAGAGCTTTGATTTCAAAAGCAACTTTGATTTGGACTAATTCGTGTGAAATACGAGTTGTTTGTAACTAATTGGTGTCTAATGTTATCTTTCTCAGATCATGCTGTCGTGAATACCCTTAGGCATTTTTACCTACCAAGAACATTCTACATTTTCTGCTCATACTTCTGCATAATTCTGTCATTAATTATTTTCTCAGGGATAGAAGTAAAAATACCGAGAGCTTCTGGAATCAATTTTATTTGAGGCTACCTCTACTGAAAACGAATCGTATTCCAGTTTTGCCACACTCAATCGTTACACTGAATTCTCTTATCGACTTATCGAACACTACATCTTGCTGGTGGCTGTCAAAACACATTTTTCTAAGTGTATATCTGGTGATATATTTGAATCTTTAACAATGACACCGAGATAGCAGGTCTAAGGATGCGAGCGAGCTCCAGCTCTTTCCGTCAGGTAGAGACCATTTACGTCTATCGCTATCTACGTGTCCTACTATAAGCTATAGTTTACGCGGTAGGCGACACGGTTTCCGTTCCTCCGATATCAAGAACATGCATAATTTATTGCCGCTACTACGATCAAAATCATGGATTGGAACGAGTCATGAAAACATGATTAGGGAAGTAAAATAAAAAGCTGAAAACTAACGAGATCCCATAAAGAGGCAAAGCGTATCTTTTGAATTGTACGTGTTAGACATGGGCTATAGCGGGCTTGATTTCGTGATTTTAGCCAGTCAGCAACGGTTCACTGGCCTTCTGAGTCGCGAGCACTAAAGATATTTTAGTCATCAGAAGCTGAAAACATATTTTCGTAAGATAAGAAAACTCTTCCTTAAGTCATATTTTAATCGTGGACCAAATATCTTCAGAAAAACCTGTTTAAATGCTAAAGATACCTAAGTAACGTTTAGAAAGCCTGGATTAAAACTTGTTGAGGAACGTGCTTATGAAGCTGTTCCCTAAAGAACAACCCATACGTTCGCACTGCTTGTTTATAACGGAGGGTGTATTCGCTTCCTTAAACTTGTGCCTTTTTCTTAAATGCTCGTTCCAAAAGAGATGCCTTCGAAAGTGCCTCATCGAACCAAACAATTTGTAAATATTTCAACAAGACCTCTTAGAACCTTTGATAAACATCAGAACCAATCGAGAACTGAGTAGATCATTCCACAGAAGACGTCTCTGTACCGTCAGCTACGGTTCGTTTTAATCGTTTGTTTATGTCTCACCCACAGCGAAAAAAAGTTGAGTTGAGCAGCAAACGAATGTCTTGAAGTTTGCCACAAATTGCTCACACACAAAGAAAAGATATCAACAATATGTTCTGTGTGTTGGAGATTTTATTTTCATCACTTAGAATTATCTCCATTCAAAGTAACAACATTAACCTCAAAAACTGGTCAGATGATTTAAGTTAAAAAATATTCACAACGGATTGCTAGAATTATCAGGCTCCGCACATTGTCAGATAATACTTACCCACTACCTACTGGCCATCGAGCATTCGCGGGCAAAAAGGATATTTCAGTTAACAGAAACTGAAAACAAACTAACGAAAGACAATTCTTCGTAAGGAAGTATGCATCACAATTTAATCGTCCACCGAATAACTTCGGAAATACTCGTTAAAATCATAGTGATTTCAAAGTAACATCCAGCAATACTTGTCAAGGTGACCGTTAGACGGGGAAACTTTTTTTGATCAAGCGAAAGCCTAATCCCTTGTAAGATTTGGAGCGACCTTTCTCTCATGGTGAAATTAAATTCAGAGAAACGTTTCTTAAAAATCTCATCTTGGTATCGCCTCTTCTTTAAGCGTTACGAATTTATTCTTACGAATCCTTTCTTTGCGCCTAACGAATGACACGAATGTAAATTCAAGCATTCGAAGGTCTCCGTATCTTTGTAATGCTTTTGGAATAAGGGTCGATTCCTTGTTAAACCTCTCTCTTTCGCACACTTTTGCGTCCAAGAATATAATTTCTGAGTCTGATATTTCAGCCGTGAATAGTCATGATTGTATCGTGGTACCATGTGCAGTTGTTGTTTGCCTGTCTTCCAAATTCATCTATGTCGCCTTTGGTACTGTTCCAAAAACAAAAAAACGTTCGTCAATATACCTCATCCAAAGTAGCGGTTTAGTTGCGCTCTGGGTGATAATACCCCATTTTCTATCTTTTTATGTCTATAGTTTAAGTATAACAAACAACGTAATCAATAACAACACCTTTTGTTCTCGATCACAGCCTTTCAGCCTGTCAAGAAAGCTGATTGCAGAGTATGTCAGACATCAATCATAAGCAAATTATGGACCAATTCAACGCTCTGCTCTCAGGAAATGTTGATCCAGACAAGACTGGAGCTCATCTTGCACAAAGTAAAAGGATAATTGAGAGAGAGCTCCGAGCATTGAGAGAAATAAGTATTAGGATAGAAAGGACGTAAACGTCGATGATAGCCGATAAAGGACCATGTTTGTTAGAGCGCCTTAACTGCGCAATAGTGCTGCAGAGAAGACCGAGATGAATTTTGGGTCATAACAACAACTCAAAAATGGCTTTCAGAGATTAAAAAGCGATAAAAATACTAATAGGGCGTCTGGGTGAAGAGCATTCATCATTTGTCAGTCAAATTAATGTCAACAGTTAATCACACAAGCTCAGTTAAATAACAAAACTTTAGATCTTTAGTGGGCCACTAAAAATCTATCACGAATTGTAATTTTTGATTGAAAATGGAACGATGAAATTATTGACGCACTCATTTGGTTTCCTGTACTAAGTTGCACGCTTCATGCTTAAATCAGGACTGAAAAGAAAATATCTACCGTTCATTTCACTTTCTGTATCATCCAGCACGCTTGAAAGCTTCAGTTTATATTAATCGTCAGATTAGCAGTGGTGTCCCTTTGTCGCTCTGAGTTATATGAACCCTGTAACAAAATAAAAGATGACTTTTATATCGAAGGCATCAGTCACCATCGTGCTATTTTCCAAGTTGAAAGTGTAAACGTCATCGGGATCAGAGGATTATGTAGCTGATATGATGCTGGTGCAGAATATAGTAACAAATATGACACGAGCGTCATGCTATTTCTTGGGTTGGCAAAAACGCGGTGTATTTATATCAGGAAAGAGTAAATATTCTTGTTTACAACCGGACATTTAAGGACGATAAAATCGTTTTTAATTTTGAGTTATATGAAATATAGATGTCAATGAATAAAGGCTGATAGTTTCGAAAGAAACTGTTTGGGGCTGCGTCGGTGGGAGTAACGAAATAATTTGGATATATCAACAAAGTTGAAATGGTAAATTGGCCACCGTAATGATTACAAAAGCTGACGTTTCGAGCGTTAGCCCTTCGTCGGAGCGAAGGGCTAACGCTCCGACGAAGGGCTAACGCTCGAAACGTCAGCTTTTGTAATCATTACGGTGGCCAATTTACCATTTCAACTTTGTTGATATATCCAAATTATAGATGTCAATGGTTTGTCAAATGATATCTTTGTCGACTCTCTTTTAAATCGATAGTTGCCTATCGGACATACTTGTTTCGGTACCGCACTAACGTCGACCGTGATCTGCAGTAAATAATCAGGAATACATCCAGCAAGTCAGTAACAATGTCAAACAAACACTGAAAGTAGCACCAAAACGATGATCAAAGTCACGTTCTGTTTCCTACAATGCCAGAATTTGAGATGCATGAAAACAATAGGTTTTTATCGTGTGATCGACAAATGGTTAAAACATTGTTCGTGGTTAGAGTTGTAAAAAAAATGAAGGAATGGACATTGACCTCTTCAATGTTTATCGATAGAATAGAGTGATCATCAATTCAGTTGTGGTTTGAAATATTGCCGAATTAGTTTGCTTTCGGAAGAGTAAGCGGATCTGGAAGATGAAAAAAAAAAAAGACGTACCAACGCCCATCATCTCTTAACGTAATAAATAACGTAGTAAGTATTTGCTTAAAACAAGTTACACCACTCTTCGATCTAAGTGTAAATGGTACAGACCGGTAAGGTAAAACAACATGTTGCTGTAAATATGAAAGCAATAAACAACGCGAATAAAATGAAACTCTCAGTTCCTGAGTGCAGCCATACTATGTGTCTTCGGATTTAAACTTGTGACTTCACGATCAGTAGGATCTAATCAATAAGGAGACCAGAGCTTTCTGTATTCAGTTCATGAAAATGTTAAGCGCGTCGAAATAAATTCTGACGAGTTGCAACGCTTCATTAAAGCCTTGCGCTATCGAATGTCTAGCGAATGGGATAAATGCAAGATTGGGATCTATCTAGCTGAATCTATCGATTTCCTCCGTACCCGTGTGTCTGATAGGTTACTATATAAAACTAGGAGTGACATTTGATAGTGAAGTCTGATCACCTGCGTGAGAATTGTCGTTAAAGGGCGTTTTGATCGGGAGTGGTTGTCATTATGTAGAATGCTCAAGTATTTCTTTCAGATTAGATCCGTCAAATGTAATCTGTGACCAAATTACCAAGCCTGATACTGTTGAAGCGTTTCTAAATCTTATTAACGAGATAGCTTTCATTGAAATAGCAACAGGGATTTGGACTGAGATGTTAATGCTTGCATTTTAAGAGGGCGATATTATGGCATTCAGTTCATTCAGTTTAGTACATGCATAACACGCTTTCTAATTTTACGATATAATTTGGTATGACAAATACGGTTTTCCAAACAAAACAAAGTAAAACAAAACCTATTATAGTTTTATAATCGGGTAGAATCAAAGACTACTGGCTCTTCTCTTCGCGCGGCCTATGTTAATCGAAATTCGTAAACTCAGACGAAATGAGTTCTATACCGACAACATGATTACCGCATCATGAAAATGCAGAAGAAAAAAAGTTGCGTGATGAAGTGTGATGTCTTTACGACTCTCGTAAGTGGGTAACATTAAAAACTAAAAGGCATTCAAAAAGTGGTCACTGTCAAAACACATCGTCGAAAGACAATTAGAGCCAAGTTGGTAATACTTTGTGGCCATCAAACTATAGGGCAGCGTCTTCCTTGAACACTTATTTATCATATCTTGATGTACTTACCTTTGACGTTGCTCTTCTGGAAACAATCACCAGAATCCAAAATGTATTCTCAAAATTTCCAGTCTTTTCTGTCTACAACGTTGGGATAAGTAATGTTGTAGGGGGCTAACGGTCTCCTAAGAAAGGTCTTCTCCGCCACTCCGCTATTTTGGTTTGTTTTGTGATATCTTTTATACCCAGCCAGTTTGCACTCTCTAAACGTAATTTATACGAAACCTCTTACAGCCGTCAATCAATGATCTAACCAATCACTTGGACTGCACAAGAGGCTAGTTAGCTTATCTGTTGCGTCAACAACTTTATTCGAGAAGCTTTAGTCATCTAGGTATGCCGCGTGCGGCTTGTTCTGCTCGTGCGGTGCAAGTGGTTTAGACTTAAGTATGCAAAGAGAGCGGTTATTTTAAGAAAATTAGTCAGTCGACTTTGAAATATGCTGATTTTTCAGCATCCTTCGCTTTGTTCCAGGTACGACTACTTTCTTTAACCATTTCTTCGATCTCATTTGTGGAGTCGATAGTGACACCATCACTGTACTTTGTAGATTTCCCTTCTCAACGTGCTATTTTAGGCTTTCGCTGAGAGAGACGCACTTAGCAAAGGAGGTCCTGATCCCGTTTCATCAGGAATGCTCGTCATATATGTCTACTATAAGCGAAAGAGGAAGTGTAAGTCCTGGATAGGACGTGAACAGGAGATTAGGAAGTTGAACGAAGTGTTACATAAAGGAATTAGTTAGTTGTACGTGTTCGAGGAAGACTCGCAGGCGGCAGTGCTGGATTATGCGGTGTAAAGCAATCAATCTCTACCCACTACTTACTGGCCATCAAGTATTCGCAGGCACAGAGGATATTTCAGTCATCAAAACCGTCTGAAAACACATTGACGAAAGAAAATTCTTCTTAAGTAAGTACACCATAATTTAACCGTCCACCAAATAACTTCGGAAATACCTGTTAAAATCAAAGTGATTTCAAAGTAACGTCCAGCGTTACTTGTCCGATTACTTGTTAAGGGACTACGCTCAACCAGGTTGTTTCTTTAGGCGTCAATCGTCTATTTGTTGCGTATTTCTATCGTTTTACCTGGTGAATGACACGAATAAAAATTTAAGCATTCAAAGGTCTCCTTTTTTTGTAATACGTTTGGACGTCAAGGGTCGATTCTCTGTTAAACCTCTCGCTTTCGCACACTTTTGTGTCCAATGATAATTTCTGAGTCTGATATTTCACTCGTGAATAGTGATTGTATCGTGGTACAATGTACAGGTCTTGCTTGCCCATCTTTCAAATTCTTCTATTTTGTCTATGGTTCTGTTCCAAAGACAGAAAACTTAGTCAATATACCTCTTCAAAGGCAGCGAAGGAATATTATGCTATGGCAACAAAAACGAGCACAGATACCTTTCCTTAAACTTTCGCCTTGTTTCTTAAATGTTCGTTGCAACGGGGAAGCCTTCGAATATGCGTCAACGAGCCAAATAATTTCTTAAGTTTCAACAAGACCTTTAAGAACCTTTAATCGACATCAAAACCAATCGAGAAGAAAGTAGATCATTCCAGAAAAGACGCCTTTGTAACGTTAGTTGAGGTATTTGTTTTAATCGTTTGTTTATATTTCACCCACAACGAAAAAAAGTTGAGTTAAGCAGGAAATAAAATTTCTTGTAGTTTACGACAAATTACTCTTACACCAAGAAAGCCTATCAACGATATGTTGTGTGTTAGAGATTTTAATTTATAGAATTACCTCCATTCAAACTAACAACTTGAACCTCATAAACCGGTCAGATGACTTATGCAAAAAATATTCATAACAAATTGCTAAAATTATCAGGCCTTGCACATTGTAACGTAACTCACATTATCTAAGATGGCGGTTGTTTGTTGTGTACTGTTTTGTTCTGTGTGTTGTTTCCCCTACGAAATTCTCGCTAACCTTCCTCTTCATGCACCCTACACCTCACACATTTTACCTTAGAAATGAACGAATTGTAATTCCAGAAGAAGAGATCAAAATAGACTTCCCTCATATTTCGAATGAGCGAGGAATAATTGAAATGGAAATCACTGTGAAAAGTACTAGTACTTTTGTCTTTACCATCAGCCTACAAAGATAAGGTAATTTTTCTTAAGTAAGTACATCATAGTTTAATCGTCCTCCGAAAAACTTTGGAAATGCCCGTTAAAATCATAGTGATTTCAAACTAACGTCCCGCATTACTTTTCAGGACACGTTCGTTTGAAGCTGTTCTTTAAAGGACGACGCTCAACCAGGTTGGTTCTTTAAGAGTCTATCGTCTATTTGCCAGGTATTTCTGTCCTTTTCATTCTTTTCATTTCATGCGTGTGTGACCGTAAGACGGGGTAACGTTTTCAATCGATCTCAAACCTAATCCCATCTAAGTATTTGAGTAACCTTTCTTCCGGTGAAATTTTATTCAGAGAAACCGTTTCTCCAAAAGTTCATCTTGGTATCCTCTATTATTTAAGGGTATTTTGAAACACTGCATGTTGAAAAGTACATTCGAGAAGTTTTAAAGCAATGTTTGATGAAATGGACCGATCTCACCTTAGTAAACTGGAAAAATAAGACGGATAGAAATCCCCCGAACGTGCAGCAACTAGCAGTCAGCGAGGCTGCGAAATGTTGGAAAAGAAAGATCGCCCCCGTTGGCCGGTTACTATTTTCTTTGTTGTTAGTGCGCAAGNCGTGTTTTCATGTTATTAGGTCACATAGTTATGATGTTATACTTCTAATAAAAAAATATATGTCTTGTAAGCTTCCGGAATGTTCTAGAATATTTTGTATACGCACATATAAGACTCGGTCGCGTGGTAATAGTTGTAGCTGTTATCGGGAGGGACATCACTGACTGTGTAGAAAGCTACACTAAGATAAAGCTTCCATGGAAGATTGTTCATTTCTTGGAGACTAGGAGAAAACTAGAAAACTATGAGTTTATGTCAGTGGTGAACTAGGTTATAGGCTGCAGTGGGTTTAGATAAGTTTATCTGGAATAGTTACTGTTCTGCTCTCAGGAGTCACTCCTTGGTAAGAAATTGCGCTTTGTTTAATAAAGTAGTTGAGTTCGTAGGATCGTAGTATTTGTAAATGTCAAGATCCTAAGGTTGCACCTTACTCAGAAACTTAACAATTACAGGGGTAGCGATGTGCGAGGCGATAGACCATTCGAACTCGGCTTGCAGGATGATTAACACATATTTAATTACAGTTCAAAGTTCGTTGTCGCGACAGAGAGTAGGACAGAGTAGTGCAGTCTAATGTAGTGCAGTCTAACGTAGTGCAGCCTACATTGTGCAGGTTCGAACTGAAAATTATAATTGCATACGTTTCAGCTAAGATACAGCATTGGCTACATAGTCACATTACAGACAATTAATCGGTGCTTAACAACGCAAAAAGACGATTCAGAAAAAACTGATAGACAATATTGGTTTCGTAGCGTGACAAAACCTCGACCTTAAAAGGACTAGTCAGTTGGAGATAAAGACAATTAAAGTACTTAGGGTAAAAGAAAAGAAACTTACTTTGATGACGACTCGCACAGATGATAGCAGAAAGTATCGCTAATAGCAGTCAAATGGTAGCCTGTAGCCTGTAGCTGATTGATCCTACAATCATAACGGTTGCGGAATAACTAACTAGTATGGTTATCACGAGTTGCCTTTTAAAACACGCGCATACGTGATTGTATCTGGGGCGTCACTTGAAAGGTATAAACCTACACTTTTTCGAAATGTTAATTCATTTCCTAAAATCACGGATTTAGCTTCGAGAAGCATGAATCTGCAAATTCCTAATCAATGCGTGGTACATTTGATCACGTTTAACTGAGACTAGAGCTATCGATTTTTACTGAAAAATGTTGTAAATGCACGAGGCGTATTAAGACTAACAGTATTCTTTCTGTCGGTTGAATTATACAGTAGCAAATTACACTTGAATCTCTTTTCTTATGAATTCATATGCTCTTTCTTTTATTTTGTTTAGCCCAAACTGAGGAGCTGAGAAAGTTAACTTTTACTCAAGGGATGGTAACCCTTATCAAAAATGAAATAGGGAACTTCTATGAAGACCTTGGAGCACTTCTTGGAGTTCGTGAAGGTGACCTTGATGACATTGAGACTCGTTACTCAAGACCTACCGAAAAGGGAGGTGCTGTTCTTAAAAACTGGAGAGATAGAGAGGGACCTCAAGCAACCGTGGGACGTCTTGAGACCGCCCTCAATAGATTGGGAAAGAAAAGGATCGCAGTCAGGCTGCTAGGTACTTAAATAAGAACGTTTTATAGAAATCGTCCTTCTCGGTTGAAAAAAATCTAGAGCATTTACCTGATGAGGTCTTGACATTTACTTTGATGCAAAAAGTTAAGGTGGTCATAGTGTTTTGAGTTGCTCTCAGTAACAGCAATGTGCACTTGCAGTATTCATTTACTCTCATCATTGATTTTCTTTGTTTTTGGAATAGATATTGCGCGGGAAGAAAAACGAACCGAAGACGGATCAGAAGAGCATCGAAAAACATTTAGCAGTCCTTTAGAAGGTATGATTAATATTTACAGAGATTTTACCTTTACACACTGTGAATAATTAATGATTGTATGAATATTGATGCATGCACCATCTTTAGTGTCTCACGCTTTCATGTTAACCGCCTCCCAGTTAGCTCAATGGATAGAGCGCTGCACTGTTGTGCGGGATGTCGAGGGTTCGAGCCCCGGCCGGACCAACACTCAAGGTCTTAAAACAAGTGAGAAGAATC